GGTTCCCGCGCCGCATGGTTTGAATTCGCTGTAAGAAGGGAATGTACCCCTTAGAGTACATGGCTAGGGACGTTTCAATTTCCCTTTGTATTTCTGTGTAAATATGATGTATGCATGATTTTATCATCTCAGTCATTTACATTCACTCTGACCTGAGTTCAATACTTCCGCTGCAACAAACCACATGCGAACAACCCTGAGCCGATCTTCGGCTAACTCCTTCTCAGGATTTTAACACATTGTATAGGGTACAACACTTTCTAGGTTGTCATACGTGTGCATCCATCTATCTGCTAAGCACATCCGTTCCGTGTACATATTTCGACACTTTATGGTAAGTGCACCTACGTCTCTATGTTGGGTGCAATGACATCCTTGTGGCCACCAGGCCCTCAGATAGGTTTGGGGGTACCCCGACCCATCAGTACTGTACCACCCAAAAAAAAAATTCCACACTGACAGTTTAGTCTTGGAGTGACAAGTTCTTATAGAAATGTCTGTGGTGTATTTGTTAGGAAACTATAGTGTCAGTGTAACTTTTACAACAATGCTGAAAATTTTGCAAGGCAAACGGTTTGTGCATCTGTCTTTAACTAAACATTGCTCTTGATTTGTAACTACAACAATTTATGTTATCAGTTTTATAATATTATAAGCACTCCAAACATCACATTCCCATGCTATCACCATCAGCCTCATCTTCACTAGCATCACTATCATCTGTCTGTTGGTGTCCTTTCCCGCCACCACCCCTTCCCGCCGCCTCTTCTTAAGACTTTCGCTTTGTCGGCCGCCGCTTCTCCAAGCTGCGCCAGATGCTCACGATTTCACTCCAATCAGCATCATACTCCAGGAGGCTTAGCGTCATGAGGTTGCCAAGCCTAGCATTGCAGAGGCTGGTACGCTGCCAGCTCTTGATGATGTTTTGTCTTGAGAACCCGCGCTCGCACTCCACGGTGCTGATGGGCAGCACCGTAACTGCATCCCACAGCCTGACCAGATTCGGGAAGCTCCGTAGCCAGACCGCAGTAGACAGCATGGCCTTCAGCCCCGCATGGAATGTCTGCTCCTCCTTCGGAGCCCCGCACAACACAGGCACGAAGGTGCGCACCCCCCTCCGTGTTTCCCGCTTGGTGACACCTGTTCGGGGGGATGGTATGCAATCTAATAGTCAAGTTATTTAACACAAGCATGCATGCATGCATGCATGCATGGGTTATCACAACATCTAGCTGCCATAAACCAGCACTCAATCTTCCCACCTGGTACGATCTCGTCTCTATCGTGTGCGTGGAAGAGTCCGATGAGGCCATCGAGGTGCTCAAGGAACTCGGTGTCACGCGCCTCCCTGCTTCGCGGCCATGTGCGCGGCATGGACAGCTTCGCAGCATTGAGGTCAGATAGGTTCCCTAGCTGCTTATTCAGGTTGTATATCAGCTCGTTGGCAAACAAGCGACATGTTCTGACGCACGACTGCAGGTCCCCCGCGCTCGTCGTGTAGACTGGAACAGGGTCTTTATGCTGGACGAATTGATGCGTACACGGTTGATCCTCCCCGTCCACACCGTCGACGGACACGTCCCTACTACACGGCGAGCTGTAGCGCGCAAGGAAAGGTGGCAGCGTTGTGCTTAAACCCGCACCGAAGTGTTGCCCGCAATCGAGGTCTCACTCCGAAATGAACATGAGCGTTCGCCGCACCTGGGACTGCACTGCCGTGAAGTCAACCTGGTGGCTGGGTGTTGGCAAAGGGGGTGGACTCGGGTACTTGCGCAAGGGAACAGACACACGATGAGTGAATTACATGAAATTAGCAACATACACATCGAACAATATTGCGGACGGAAAGCAGTATAATCCCAAAAAAGGTACCTCGCACTTCTGGAACAAGAGGTTCAGCATGTTGAGCTCGACGTGTACGTCTGCAAGGAAGTACAAAAAAAAAAGGAACGTGAACGATGTCACCGCCTGGTACATCTTCCAGTCGAGCGAGTGCAGGAGGACTATCACGGCCGGGAGAACCTTCAGGAGTCGGGCGATTGAGTCGTCGTGACCCAGCCATCAAACCGCGTGTATCCCCTAGCTCCAAGTTGGTCTGCGTGAAGATCTGCTGGAGCTCTTTGAAGGTGTCGTGAGAGTTGCTCGAACGACCGAGGTGCTCGAAAGTTGCGCAGATAACGGCATCGATCATGCCGAGTTCTGGGAGCGCTGTTGCAAAGTCTTTGGCAGAGAGTTGCTCCTTGCCAAACATCAACGGAGAAAAGCGCGTTAGCAATTTAAATTCAAACCACAAACAAGCGACAACATATTCTTACCGGTGAGCGATGCAGTGGGTTGACACCAGACGCGGGATGGACATGCGAAGCTTTGCAGCTAGTCCAGTGCTCCCGCCAATCATCACCATCACATCGTCAGTACTGATACCCGACACCTTGTTGAGATCGAGGTTGATGCTCTCCAGATACCCAGTCAAGGTGCCATGACGTGACCCTGTATCACACCTGTCAACAGTTGCCGTATTAACATAAGAAACTCCGTAGTTACCACATGGTCATGCAGAAATGTACGATCATGTGCTTCCCGCGCATACGATTGTTGCTTTCATCGCAGCTCAAGCCGATGAACGGGCTTGAGTCGATGTACTCCCATTGGCGTGATCGGAGGTGGGACGATGTCGCCAACATGAGCTCCTGAAATCCGTAACTAAAAAAAACACACACACACATTTTAAATATCGATTACAAAAACAAATGACAAAGCAAAAGACGTCGAAAGAATCTCACGTCGTGTAGTACGCGCCATTACCATTCTTTGAGAACCCAGGAGTGCCGCGGAGTGCAAGTTGTCTCACAAGCTGCACCCACAGCTCTATGGGCGCGTCGGTCTTGGCGATGAAGAGTAGAGTCTCCAATAACGCCTGCACATGTTACTGCTCTACATCCCGCGCGACAAGGCAGTAAGTCGTTGATGCGTTGCTGACCTCGCACGGCAGCCAAGGCCAGCTCCTGGTTGTGAATCACCTCCTTGTGCTTTGTGGTTGCTGGTGGTTTCGCATTGCCTGGGTTTGAAAGTCTGTTGCACCTTCGCCCCAGCCGAAATTAATCCCCTCGTCGCCAAACTCCATGCACACCGTGCACTTCATAGTCTGGAAATCGCAAGAGGTCTGAAAAATCACAAGCCAAGGAAAGTCAGTGGACCAACGTCTTTTTTACATAAATAGCGCTTCCTGATGCTTCTCCTCGGCGATGTCCGCAGTTCGGTGTCAGATGAATCCGCGGGGCCTCTCGAAACGAGAACCGTCGGGGTCGCTTCAGCTGCGGGATCAACGTCGTCCACAGCAGGGCAAGCAGGTGAGCGGTTAAACGAGACTTTCGTTTGAAGGTAGCATGGCTTGGCTATCTTCTTGGAAGGGGGGCCTATACGTGTTGACCCTTGCATGGTTGCTTTGGAGCATGCTCCCGCGGTACGAATAGGCGGAGGGCTAGGCGAGTTGTCAACTACATCAGCGGGATTTGCGGTTGGTACTGCCCGAGTTGCTGTCGAGCATTCTCCTGGGGCACGAATAGGCGGAGGGAGTGGCAAGGTTTCTAATACATCAACGGGAAAAGCGGGAGATGCGGAAGATACTGACCGGGGTGCGTTCGAGCATTCTCCCCGGGTACGAATAGGCGGAGGGAGTGGAGATTCGATGCCATCATCGGCGACAATTGCGGGAGGTATTGGCGGCGGAGCTATTGGCGTACTAAACAAGAGATCGAGACCGGTCAGGGCACCGCCTTGCGTCACGGCGTCAGGAATGGTGGTGGCTTCACCGTCGCCCAGTGGCAACGGTGCAGCCATGGGAGATCTGGTTTCCGGAACGCGCTGTGAGATACGTCGTAGAGGATTCTGGAAAAACGCTAGTGCAAGAAACTAGCAAGAATGAATGTAGGGAGGGCTTGAAGCTGCTGCAAGAACGGGTTGGAGGAGAAAGGGCTCGGACTGGGTTGATCCAGACCACTGGTTCTGATGCCATAGTTCTGGAAGCCCTGGTTCCATAATGTTCGCCATCAATGGCAGTGGCGCCGCGCTGTGGGCATGTCCAGGACCATTCAATCTGGCATAGGCCATGCCACGATTGAATGGCAGGTGCGGAGCGCGACGTATTGCTTGGTGCCGACGCGGTAATGTTCTGGTGCCGTGTGGAGTGGTTTTCGGCTAGCGACAAACTTTGATTGGCTCATGACCTCGGACATGACGGGTATATTGCTGGGGTGCAGGTATAGCGGGGCGAAAATAATCGCATGCAAATCGCGGCCCGTGTTTCCAGCTGTACACCAAGTCGGTGATTTTGTCTATTAGCCCCATAAGATTTTTTTTCCGATACAACACATTTCAGTGTAAATTTCAACAGGATACTGACGGATCAGTGCTGGGGGTACACTACAATCCTGACATCTCAGGGTGCTTATGCGTTAGGAAACTGATTGATAAGGGCTATATCTCATACAAAACTGTATTTTCAGTCCTGCACCCATTCACTAATTCTGAAATCAGTGTAATCAGAATATTATATCCTGATAAAATAAAGCCTGGTGGCCACACTCACCATATAAGATGCAAACTAAAAACATGAGCATGTGAGGCTGTCTTTGGAAGTCTTGCAGTTTTGCTGTCGTAAGCATGACAAAAGAACAACTTTATCTGTATCCCTTCTTTTTCAGTCTAATGTGGTTGTGTAGAAGCAAAAACTGCTGGCCAAACCATCTCTTTCCCCACTCTCGCACCCTGCTCCTCAAAAACACCCCACGTGTTAGGCACTCAACAATCCGTGCATCGAGAATCGCATGTGCACAGCTTCCAGCACGGTCGTTCTTATTGCAGATTCCCAACCCGAGCGGTGGGGTTTTTCACCGTTTCCTGCACTGCCATCCTCGTTGCAAGTACAGTATCAAGCACAAACCGGCCCCATTTCCACATAAAAACCCAATTCCAGAACCCGGCCCCTGAAGCACCCCCCTCTAACTCTCCTCCTTGGGAGTGGCGGCAGTGCTGCCTGCCCCTGGCGATGTCTGTGGGGCACTCGAGGGAGTGCCGCTGGTGGGGCTGGTGGGGGGTGGGAAAGAGAGGGGACATTTGGAGGGGAAACAAGTTGGGAGTGGGAAAGGGAGGTGGTGGAGATGTCAGGTACGGTACCAGGTGGGGTAGGTAGAGCCAGACTAAAGACTGGCAGCTTTTGTGGAACGACAGGGCTAACAGGAGGGCGGATACGGCTGAGCAAAAGGTGGAAGACAAAAATCATAAAGCCGCAGGCAGAAGAGAGGAGGCACTCACGTGAACTGGGGAGACGTGGGGCTGTAGGCAGAGCCGCTTGGCGTGTATGCAGGGCTGCAGCAGGGAGAGATGGATGGGGAGCAGAGATGGTGAGATTATGGTGCTACAGAAGAGCAAGGCAGAAGTGGTGGGAATGGTGGGACAGAGTGGTGGCAGTGGTGGCAGTGCCAATGCAACACCGTACCTCGTAGGCGAGTAGTTGGGGGCGGTGGAGGCACCTCCAGAGGGAGTGGCGGCAGAGGGAGTGGCGGTTGTAGGAGAGTAGGAGGGGGAGGTGGGGGAATAGGAGGGCGAGGTGGGGGAGTAGGAGGGGGATGTGGGGGAATAGGAAGGGGAGGTGGGCGAATAGGCGGGGGAAGGAGAGTAGGTGGGGGGCGCAGGCGAGTAGGACGGGGCTGAGGGTGAGTAGGATGGAGAGGTGGGGGAGTAGGAGGGGGATGTTGGGCTGCAAGAAAGAAGTGGGAGGAGGGGGTGGGAGGGAAGGGGCGAGAAAGAGAGGATTGAAGAATGTAAGTGGATGTGTGAGAAGACATGCATCAGCCAAATGAGCATTATGTGCCCAACAGAAAACAAAATGTACGGCCATGCATAACTAGATGGTAAAAAAAGGTTGGAAAATTAAAATATATTCTAAAAATAGGAGGGACTCAAAGGAGAGGCTAAAAGGAAACCAGAATTGTGAAAAAAAAAAGGCATACATGAAAAGAAGGGTTAAAAAAAAAAAAAAAACGAACACAATATTTAGCTTCAAAGGCGTTACGAAAGGGCAAGCAGGTCAGAACAGGGGCGTGAGAAGAGGCTCACCTGTAGCCGGGGCTGGTGGGCGAGTAGGCGGGCGAGGTGGGGCTGTAGGAGGGGCTGTAGCGCGGGGAGGAGGGCGAGTAGGCCGGGCTGGTCGGGCTGTAGCTGGGGGAGGTGGGGCTGTAGCCTGGCGACGTGGGGGAGTAACTGGGGGAGGTGGGGCTGTAGCTGGGGCTGGTGGGGCTGTAGCCGGGGGAGGTAGGGCTGTAGCTTGGGGAAGTTGGGCTGTAACTGGGGGAAGTGGGGGAGTAACTGGGGGAAGTGGGGGAGTAACTGGGGGAAGTGGGGGAGTAACTGGGGGAGGTGGGGCTGTAGGCGGGGCTGGTTGGGCTGTAGCTGGGGGAGGTGGGGCTGTAGCTGGAAGGCGAGTAGGCGGGTGAAGCAGGGCTGTAGCTGGGGCTGGTGGGGCTGTAGCTGGGGGACGTGGGGGAGTAGGCAGGAGACGTGGGGCAGTAGCTGGGAGATGTGGGGGAGTAACTGGGGGAGGTGGGGCTGTAGTTGGGGGAGGTGGGCGAGTAGGTGAGGGAGTCAGGGGTATAGGAGGGGCTGGTGGGGGAATAAGCAGGAGAGGTGGGGCTGTAGCCAGGGGACTGAGGGCTGTAGCTGGGGGAGGTGGGGCTGTAGTTGGGCGATCGGCCAGGGGAGAACGCCAAACCTCCAACGTACGGCGAGAACTGCGCGTCCGAAGCTGCGGGCGAGGCTCGGAAGTTGGGACTGAGGAGGTAGCTCGGGGACATGGCCATCTCATGATACGGTGTGGCATTAGGCCCGGGGGAGCGCGCCGGAGTCATGCCGAACGCCGCTGCCCCCATGCCGCCCATGCCACCCATGCCGGCGGCAGCATCCAGCTGCAGCTCAATGGCATGCTTCAGCATCGCCTCGTTCATGTAAAGATCGAAGCTGCCCGTTCCCAGCGGGCACAGCTGCCCGAGCATGATATTTTCAGACACGCCCTTGAGCCGGTCCGCCTCGGAATAAATGGCGGCATCGAGCAAAATGTCGACGGTCTCCTCGAAGGAGCAGCGCATCATGGGCCCCGTGTCGTTGCGGTTGATGCCGTGCCGCGTGATGGACATGAGATGCCCGCGGTAGCTCATCACGTCGCACAGAATCGCCAGGTGGCGGTAGTTGACGTACGAGCCGTCGAAGGAGATCACGTCTCTCAGCTCCTTGAGCAGCGTGTTGCGCACGGCCTCGATGCCCAGCACCTCAAACACCTCCATGAGGTAGTTGCTGCGGATGCGCGCGGGGTCCACCTCCTCGTGCGCCATCACCTCCAGCATGCTCACGCCCTCCGTGTCCAGCACCCACTCCGCGTGCGTCAAACCCCTTCTCCTCGTGGAACTGCTGGTGCTTCAGCTCACGAATGAACACCTTCTTGATCGCCTCGATGCCGCGCAGCAACATCTCCGTGAGAATGTTCCCCTCCACTTGCTTCAGAAACACGTCGTCGTCCGCACTCAGCTCCTCCCCCTCCGCCCCGCCCCCCGCGCCGCCCTTGGCGGCCTCCTCGTTGAGAATGCGGATGCGCAGAATGAGCTTGGGCGCGTTGTCATCGGAGAAGATGCAGGTGAGGTCCTTGTCAAACTCCTTGGAGATCTTGTCGCCGATGGCCTCCATGGTCAGCTTCTTGTCCACCATCATCTCGCGGTTCAGCTCGATGCGCAGCAGCCACGGGCTCATCTTGTCCAGGTCCAGCCCCTCGTCCGGCATCTCAAAGTAGGACTGCACCGTCTCCAGGTCCTCCTCTATCACCGTGGTCATGGGGTCGGGGTCGTACCAGATCTCCGTCGCCTCTGTCACGCTGCGCAGCGTCGTGTACTCCAGCTCCACCTGTGGTGGAACGGGGGGAGAAGGAACAGGAGGCGGGCGACGGGGAGAGCAGGGAGAACGGGAGGAGAGGGGGGGGAGGGATGAGAAGTTGGTGCAACTGTGTCATTGGGAACACAGCACATCCCTGCGGGGGGGGAGGGCGGGGCTTGACATTTCAACCAAGCACAACCCAAGCCAGTGATAGACATGAAGAAACACCAAGTATTATAATCTTTAAAAACACTGCACCATAAAAAAAAAAAATTGGCAGACAAAAAAAAGGCCAGGCAGACAAAAAAACTTTCGGGCAGGCAAAAAAAACTTCCGGGCAGGCAAAAAAACCTCTGGCAGGCAAGGAAAACTTACGGGCAGGCAAAAAAAACTTTTGGACAGGCAGAAAAAAGGTCCAGGTTGCCTTCCAAGACTTTTTTGCCTGCCCCTGATTTTTTTTGTCTGCCCTGCAGCTTTTTTAGCTTGCCCGCCCTAGCTTTTTTTTTTTTAGCGTACAGTCGGCACACACACCTCCCACGGCCCTTACCTGCACGTTCTTGGCCGCCTCTTTAGCGCCATCCCGATCGTTCTGGTCCACGTGCGGCCCGAGGTACACGGTGAGCGCGGGCGTCTTGTTCTTCTTCGCCACGTTGATGATCTCCCTCAGCCGCGGCACGCCCAGCGTCACGTTCTTGGCGCTGACACCGGCGAAGTGGAAGGTGTTGAGAGTCATCTGCGTGGCGGGCTCGCCGATGCTCTGCGCCGCCACACACCCGACCATCTCGCCCGCCACAGCCTGCGACTGCAGAAAGCGGTACTCCACCTCGCCCACCACCCAGTCAAACGCCTCCCGGGACAGCCGGAACTCCTGCAGCACGCGCTTGCTGGCGAGCGTGGAGCGCAGGAGGATCTTGAAGAAGAGCGTCGCGTTCTCCTGCGCCTCGCGCGACAGCAGGTCGTCCCCCACGACCACCATGAGGCGCTGCTGCAGCTTATCCACGGCGTCGATCACGTCCAGCGGGGACAGATCCGACGGCTTGTGCGTGTCGATGCGGAACATCTTCTGCGCATTCCACACGAGGCGCTTCAGGTTGACGGGCATGGGCCACGTGGCGTCGCCTGACGGGGCGATGTCGCGCCCCAGCACGCGGCGGTCCCTCTCCAGCTGCAGCATCTCTGCCCGCAGCACGAAGCGCAGCGCCTCAATTGATCGGATCTCCTCCGCTGCCGCCGCCGGCATGTAGTCGGTCGGGTCCCACGCGTCGCCCTGCTCGTCCACCTCGTATGCGTAGGTTCTGAGAAGCTTCTTCTTGTCCATCTTCATGGAGTCGAGCTTCTGGCTCTCGATCCACACGGCGTCCATCCCATCCTCGCCGTACAAAAACTGAATCACATCGCCCTGGGAATTCCTCACTGTCCCATCGTACTTCACCATCAGATCTTCCATAGCCTTCACCAGCCGCCTCTGAATATACCCCGTTTCGGACGTCTTGACTGCCGTGTCTATCAGCCCCTCCCGACCTCCCATGGCGTGGAAAAAGAACTCCTGGGGGGTGAGTCCTCGCAGGTAGGAGTTTTCCACGAAGCCGCGGGACTCGGGGCCGTAGTCGTCCTTGGTGAAGTGCGGTAGAGTGCGGTCGACGAAGCCGTAGGGGATGCGCTTGCCCTCCACGTTCTGCTGGCCCACGCAGGCAATCATCTGCGAGATGTTGATAAACGACCCCTTGCTGCCCGCCGTCACCATCGCCTTCACGTTGTTCATCTCCGACAGACTGCCCTGGGCTGCCCGACCGGCATCATCACGAGCTTTATTGAGCACTTGGTGAGGGAAGCGGGGAGGGGAGTGGGGAAAGGTGCACAAGAGAGGGATGGGTTAAAGAGCCTTGGCAGCAGTCACCATCACCTTCACATTGTTCATCTCTGACAGACTGCCCTGCTCTTGCAACGTGGAATGGAAAGAGCCTTCACAGTGCTCATCTTTTCAAATTGCCTGGAAAGAGGTGACTCAAAAGAGGTTCCTTGTGCTGACTTGACTCGAACGATCCACAATCCCCATCCACATGGAAACCTCTTTTCCCACTGGCTAACCTGGTTGACTCGGTTCTCAAAGGACTCTCTCAGAGTGCGTCCGGGCTGCTGCTCGAGCTCCTTGTCCTGCCACTTGCGGATGAGCTCCTTGACCTCCTCCTTGGCCTTGGCGATCGTCTCGTTGATCGTCTCCATCGTGCTCGCATCTGCGATGGTGTCGCCGATGCCGATGCTGAAGCCCTGCTGCAGCAGCCAGTAGTTCACCAGCCACTGCGTGTGCCCTAGGAATTTACGCGCTGCATCTGGCCCCACCTCCTCCCTGTGAATGGGGAAGGATAGAGTAAAAAATCTCAGAATTTGGAGGGACATTGAAGGGATGAAGAGAGAGAAGGGAAGGAAGAATTTGCAGTCGTTTCCACTTTCCCCGAAAATCCCAAGCCGCAACACCACAGCAGCGCACAAGCAGCACCCACCAGATGGTGTGCACGAGCCCCCCCGCAGCGCTGCCCATGCTCTTCTTGCAGAGGATCCCCGCGAGCACCTCGCCCTGCTCCACGCGCACCACGGTGTCCCCCGGCGACATGTCGCCCACCTCGCCGTCAGGGTGCCAGGCGGAGAAGCGCACGAGGTTGATGGCGCGCGGGATGAACAGCGAAAACACCTGCTTGCCCGTCCACAGCGGCCGCGGCTTCAAGATGGTGGGGATGGGCAGCTTGCCGTCAAAGTCCTCCCACCACATCAGGATGTTCATGAACACGTCCTAGAGAGGGGTGGGGGTGGGGAGGAAAGGGACGGTGAGGGGGAAAGTGCGATAAGTTGAGTGTCCCTCTTGGTGACCTTCCAACACCCCAGCCGCGAGTCCTGCATAATGCCTCGTGAAAGCTCCCAGAAGTGACACACGCACTTCACGCACTCCCACCACGCGCTCACCTTCTCAATGAACGTGTCCCTCTTGGTGATCTTGCGGCACCCCAGCAGCGAGTCCTGCACGATGCCCATGACAGGGCAGTTACTCTGAGGCGACACCACGCACTTGGGCACGAGCATGAGCTCCGACGTCTCGGCGCGCGTGGCAAAGCTCTGGCACACGTGCATGTTCATTTCGTCGCCGTCGAAATCAGCGTTGTAGGGCGACGTGACGGAGAGGTTGAGGCGGAAGGTGGACCAGGGGAAGATGCGGATGCGGTGCCCCATGATCGACATCTTGTGCAGCGACGGCTGCCGGTTGAACAGCACGAAATCGCCCTCCACCAAGTGACGCTCCACCTGGTTGGGGTCGTCAACGAGAGAGGGAGAGATGGGGGGAATGAGAGTGAGACGGGTGAGAAGAAAGACGGAGGGTCCCATGATGAATGAAAGTCTTGGTCAAGCAACAGACCTGGTCTTTCGATAATCTCTTGCAACGGATCCCTTGGCCATACCCTACCATACCTTGTACCCCAGCTCCAAGTGCCGGTCGCTAGTCTTCTTGAGGTATCGCAGGTCCAGCCGCTGCCCGTCCTCTCTAATAATGTACTTGGCGCCTGTCTTGCCCGGCGGGGGGTGCGGTCCATTCTCCACCAGCTCCCGCAGCCTGCGAGGGAATTCACAAAGGGGACAAGCGGACGAGAGGATATGGGAGAGGGAAGGGGGGAGAGGATGAACGGTTGAGGCAGCATGGGCCTCTGTCTTGCTCGGGGGCGGTGCAGTCAATTCTGCAATTGTCAATGCGCACTCACTTGTCAATGTTGTAGGGAGTGACAGTCTCAGGGTACGTGAGGTTGAGAGCAATGCTCCACGGCACGCCCAGCTCGTCAATGTTGATATTCGGGTCCAGTGTGATCACCGTCCGCGCTGAGAAGTCCACCCGCTTCCCCATCAAATTCCCCCGAATGCGCCCCTCCTTCGCCTTCAACCTCGCACAGATCGACTTGATCGGCCGCCCTGACCGCTGTGTGGCGCGGGGCTGCCCCGGCAGGTCGTTGTCAAAGTAGGTGGCGATGTAGAACTGCAGTATCTGCAGCTGGTCGTTTATCACGTGCGCCGCCATGCCGTTCGCCTCCTGCTTTTTTACGTACTCGTTCTGCCGGATGATCATCACCAGCTGGTAGGTCAGATCGTCCTCGCTACGTGCCGAACTGCTCATCATTACGGACGGCCGCACGGGCGGCGGCGGCACCGGCAGCACCTGCAGGATGAACGAGTCCGGGCGGCCGTATTTGGGGTTCAGCCCCAAAAGCTCGCAATCTTCGTCTGTTATGTGCTTCAGAATGCTGAGCACCCGGTCGGGCCACATCCTCTGCTTCCTCTCGGTCGGTTCAATCTGCTCCTCCTCCTCCATCTCGTTCCTCCCCCTCTTCGGCGCCTTGAACTCAGCCATGATCTTCATCCCATCGATCGTGTACTTAGGCTGGGTGGCCCCGCACCCGCCGCGCCGAACCTTGCGCTCAGGGTCGTCAAAGTCCTCCCCGTCCGGGTTGGCAGGGTCGGCGCCGTCCTCGGCGCCTTCGGGGGGCGTGTCTGCGGCGCAGACGGAGCGCGTGCGGCAGCACTCGTACATGCGGCGCAGGCGCTGCTTGGGGTTGCGCACCCGCAGCGCCATCTTGTACCGGTAGTCGTTCTGGTGGGGAGAGGAAATGACGGGAATGGGAGAGAAAGGGGGAGTGGGGAGGGGAGTGGAGGGAGGGGGGATGTGGGAAGGAGCGGAAAACGGGGGAGGGGAGGGGGAAAACCCAGACATATGAGACGACCTCAGGAGTTGCCTTAACTCAGAAGATACCCAGACTTAAACGTCGCCAGAGATCACCAGGTTGCCCAACAAGGCAAGGCAACCCACAGCTCACCGGGTCCGCGAGGATGCGCGAGCAGTTGTGGCAGACGGAGCGCAGCAGCGTGAGGACGACCTTGATGAAGCCGATATGGAACATGGGCCGCACCAGCTCCAGATGCCCGAAGTGCCCGGGGCACTCCGCCATGCCGCCCTGGCACGTCAGACACTTGACGCTCCGGTCGATCGTCCCCAGGCGCGGGTCGCTCAGCCCGCCCTCGCGCGGCTTTCCGCGGTCGTACAGGTCGCTCGTGTCGATTTGGACGACGGACATGCGACGCTGGTGGGTGTCGCACACGGGGAAAGGGTGTCGCACGAGGGATGCGGTTCGCAGGGATAAGTTAAGGAGACACGGAAACGATGAGTGCTCGTAGCAGCTGCGGCATTCAAGGCAAGGACAATGGCATGCGTCACGAGAAAATTGATTGCGGGAGAGCTGACAAGAACAGCTTAAGTTCTCCCCGTAATCAGTGTTAAGCTGCTGCCATAACAACTCCCGGCCATGATTTCCGCTCGGTAAATCCATACCTTAAGATGCCTTCTCGCCATAACCTAGGTTCAGCTCTCGACGTAACGTAAAATGACTTCTCGTCGTAAACTAAGTCAAGCCCTCGCCACAACCCTACTTAATTTCACGCCATGGACACGAACGAAGGCGAATGGATCAACATTCCCAACGCCACGAGCGAAACGAACGTGTAACGAAGCTGCTGGATCGCCACAATTTCCGACGCTCGAGCAGACAGACAGTTGCACAACTAGCACGACGCTCGTCCGACTTGGAAAATGATAATTCCTACGCTTGATGGAACGTAGGCTAGACTCAAATGACGAGCTGATCAGCGAAATGGCTATTTCAGTCGCAGCGCAACGCACGATTTCATCTGGGCTGAGCACGCCGAACTGCACCGTCTTCACTTTCGCCACCTCCGCCGGAGAAAACCCGAACCGCTGCTCCATCGCGGCGGCTCCGGCGGCTTCCGCTCTGGCAGCGTCTGGTCCGCAAGCTTCTGGTTTCGGCTTTTGAAAAACACCTTTTCTACACCAATTAGGGTTTCCTAGCGGAGATTTGAGGCGACGAGTGGTAGTAAACTACGTCGAGTATCGAAAACCGGCCGTAGCGGCCTCAATCCACCGTGATCAGTCCTGCTTAATCTTTATTTACCAGCTACCATCCACAGCAAGGCTCGAGAGGCCTGCAGCTCGATCGGCCGCTTTCGTTCAACTTGGAACGAGGTGGAAGGAAACTGGAAATGAATGAAGAATGGGAAGACAATGCTGGTTATATACTGGCAGCAACTGCTGCAAACAGACTTGCTTGAGGGGTCTGGGGAAGGCGGGGGAACGGGGGAGATTGGTGGGGGAACGTCAGACAGTGAGGTGGAGGTGGAGAGGGGAGAGAGAGGTGGAGTGGAGCGGAATGGTTGTCATACTTGGCGGTATTCAACGAGGGGAGCGGAGGCCCGCTGACTGATGATTTGGCGGGGTTGATGAAGGTGTGGCGTGCATGTAGGGGTTTGCTGAAGCTGAGCGTAACGTACACCCTGTATCTCGCCATAGGGGATGCCGGTATAGTTGAACAAGGCGGTTAGATTATGTTTAGGAGGTATGGATGAATCAGGCAAATAGAATAAAACAAGGTCAGCCAGCCGGCCGGTTCCATACACTTCAGTATAGAGAGAAACAGGGTGTAAAAGGTAGAGGGGACGGAAATCCCTCTGGGTGTTACCCACCATGTGTTATGAGTTGTAAAAGAGAGTGCACGGAATAAAGAATAACGAAGGTGTGACTCAATGAACTAACAATACAACGAAGGCACGCGCTAATATAGTGGGTCAACCTAGCTAGGCGGGAACCTCGGGAACACGAGGTTGGGTGCAGGTTGGGCAAAGGAAAGCAGAAGGCGACGCGAAGTTGCTTCGGCAGCAAGCGAAATGGCCGAACGTGCATTTCCGAAAGTTGGGGTTGTACGCGGTTGAGTAGACCCTTGTAAGGAAAAGGGTTTTTCCTTACATTACCACCCCCCTAAGAAAGGTGGTCAATATCTGCAGCTCGCTTGCAGGCGAGGTAATCACCAAGAAGCGGGAAAGCTTCAAGCGAGGCGGATTGCACCCAAGTGTCGTCTTCACTGGTGCGGTCAGTCCAACGGATTAGAAAATCCACGTGGCGTCCAGAGGCGTCGAGCCGAACATGGTGCGCCAAAATCTTAGACGGGTCAAGTGTCGGTTCCGGGACAGGTCGGGCTGTCGGGGCAGCGTTCTGGCGCGCGATATCTGTCGTAGCAGGTACGAACTTGCGAAGGAGGCTGACATGGAAGGCGTCATGTATACGCCAATCGTCGGGTAGCAGCAGCTTCGTTGTGACAGGTGTCACCATCTTGATGATTTTGAAAGGACCACAGAAGCGTGGCCGTAACTTCAACGGGCCAGGCAGGTGCAGGTTTTTCGTGTCGAGTAGCACTAGTTGCCCAGCTGCCAAGACGAGTTCTCGGCGCAGAAGGTCGGTGTATTTGCGAGAAGTTGTATTCGCCTTGCGGATTGCGTCTGCAGCCTTCTCAGGAACTTCCTGCAGTTCCGTCACAAATGTTTGTGACTGCGGGACCGAGTTGTCGAGTGTAGTCGTCGTAGGAACCGTCGGATCCATCCCGTAATTTAAGAAGGCGGGGAGTGATTAGTCGTGCTGGACGGGGCGTTGTTGAACGCGAACTCCAGCATAACGAGCGAGTTTTCCCAGCGAGCGGGGTCGGGGCAGTTTGTCCTGATCAACTGCTCCATAGTCTGATTGGTGCGCTCGGTCTGGCCGTCCGTTTACGGGTGGTATGCGGATGAGAACTGTAGCTTCGTGCCGTACTGCGCCCACGTCTCCTTCCAAAATTTCGACGTGAACTTTGGGTCCCTGTCGCTGATGATCGCCGCGGGGATTCCGTGCAGACGTAGTTTCTTCGGCGTTGCACGACACGGTGCGAAATGCGCCATTTTCGTGAGGCGATCAACGACGACGAGAACATCGTCGATGCCGGACGGCCCGGCTGGCAGACCCGTGACAAAATCCATCGTCACTTGTTGCCACGGTCGTTCGGGTGGTTTGAGGGGTTGCAGCAGTCTAGCTGGCCGCTGACGTGTCGATTTCATGGCTTGGCACACCCTGCATGAGGACACATACCGCTGCACGTCATTAGCAGAATCGGGCCAATAATATCGGCAGTGCAACAGCTTCTGGGTTTTATCAACCCTGAAATGTCAGGAGAGGGTAGAATCGTGGACCTCCTGGATAAGGAGTTCACGCAGCAGCCGGTAAGACGGAACCCAAATCTGGCCACTTCCGGCTTTTAGATAGTAATTCCCCTTCTGCGTCGTTGCCTGCTGGTGATTCCCAAACGTGAAGAACGGGTCCGTAGTGTAGCCGTGGGTGAATAGTCCCGTAAGTAGCGGGTTCGGGTGGGTGATGAGCACTACAGCGGATTGAACTCTCGGTCTGGTCAGGGCATCGGCGATGTCATTCGCCCATTTCTTGTACGTGATGCGGTAGGTGAAGTGACTCTCCATGTAGTCCAGCCACCGAATTTGTCATAGATTGAGGTTGGGCTGAGGTCGCAGGTACTGTAGGGACTTGTGGTCCGTGCGAACAGTGACGTCGGTGCCCACAAAGTAGCAGTGCCACAGTTTGAACGCGTGTATTATATGGCGAGCATCACCTTGTCATGTATCGGGTAGTTGCGCTCGGCTGGCTGCAGCTTGCGTGACTCGTAGGCGATCGGCTGCAGTCCGTTCCCGAAATCCTGGAGGAGTACAGCCCTGATGGCAAAATCTGAGGCGTCGATGACGACTTCGAACGGCTTTGATGGGTCGGCGATGCGCAAAACCGGAGGGGAAACGAGAAATTCTTTAACTCCTGAAAAGCCGCCTCAGCTTCCTCCTCCCACACAAAATTCTGGTCCTTGTGCAGCAGGTCGGTCAGCGGGCCGGTTATTCCCGCTATATTCGGGATAAACTGCCTGACGTAATTCACGAAGCCCAGAAAACTCTGAAGTTCCGTGATGTTAGTGGTAGACTTCCACTCCTCAATAGTCTTGATTTTTGTCGGGTCGATTTTAATGCAGTTGCGGAGATGACGTGTCCCAAAAACTCCAACTCCTGCTTAAAAAACTCGCACTTAGAGCCTTTGGTGATCAGGCGGTTCTCCTGCAACCGCTTAAACACTGCGTCGAGGTCTCGGAGGTGTTGTTCCATTACCTTGCTAAAAACTAGAATGTCGTCCAAATAGACGACAACACATCTGTCGAGAAATTTTCGGAAGATACTGTTCATGGTCACTTGAAATGTTGAAGGCACGTTAGTGAGGCCGAACGGCATCACTGTGAACTCGTAGCTTCCGTAGCGGGTGCGAAACGCGGTCTTGTGACACTCGTCGGTGAAGACCCGAATCTGGTGGTAACCGCCACGCAAGTCGATTTTCGAGAAATAGCGAGCGCCACGGAGTTGATTGAGGAGGTCGTCGGTGCGTGGAATTGGATAGCGAGATTTGATGGTCACCCGGTTGAGCGCGCGAGAGTCGATACACATGCGAAGCCCGCCATCCTTTTTCGGCGTGAACATGATCGAGGATGCGAAGGGAGATGTACTGGGTCGAATAAACCCCTTCTCCAATAGGCCTTCAATTTGTCTTCGCAGCTCTTCGAGTTTCGGTTGGGTCAACCGCCACTGTGTATGAACAGTCGGCTGCGCGCCAGGCTCTAGCTGGATTTTGTGGTCCTCGGGTCTTTCGGGTGGCAATCCAGGTGGCAGATCGTCGGGGAAGATGTCCGGGTACTGTCGAATCAGCTCCGCTAAATCAGGTGGTGCAGCTGCGCACTGCTTCTCGATGTCCTTTCCGTCGGTGTCGGTTGCCAACTCTCGCAAACATACGGCGAACAGCTGCGCGCCTTGGTTGAAGTGGCGAGCTACAGTGATAGCTTTGACGCACTGGGCTTGGATGTAGTCAGGTGTCCATGCAGGCAATTTAATTAGTCCTTCGTGCTTGCTGATGCTGCACGATCCCGTTGTCCAGTCGATGACGGGGTTGTGCCGTCGCAGCCAATCACGTCCCAGTAGCACGTCGCAGCCATCCAACGTTGTCGTGAGAAACTTCATGCTGAAGCCGAAATCGTCGCCGCATTCGATCCGCACCGTCCGTGTTTCTTCCAAAATCGCCAGAGGCGTTCCATCCACGAGGCGAGCATCGATCTAGGCAGACACTTGTCAAGTTGCAGCTTGTTTTTTTTTGCTGTTGCCAAGT